ATCAACCTCGTGATTTGAGACACACCGCAGCGAATGCCTCCAAAGGGAGAACAAGTCTCAAGGTGTCACAAAGTCAAGAGACAAGAGACACCGTGGTGAGGGGCTCGCATCAATGCGAGTCAAGCTATAGCAATACTGCTGGGGCTCATGATTCGTAGGGAGCTAAATCAACCCCATGAAATGCAAACCCGGTCATCTCCTGCCCATGAATTGACAGACAGGGACTACCATGGGACCTGTGAAGCAAGTACAAGCCCATGAAATGGCTGATAGTTGCTGACTTATAGGTCCAACATACACTTTTCCTGGAGAGTTTTCGCTCACCGCAGATGATCAGCAATCTTCTGAATGCAGCGTAGTTAATGGTACCGAGCTTGCAAGATTGCAACTGTCGTCTCTTGGAGCGCAGCGCTGGTTAGACTGCGCGCGAGCCTCTGTTCCTTCCGCAATCGAAATGTCTGAGCCATCCCACCACCCCGACCTCTGACTTGAGATCACCGTGCTAGACAGCCTTCGAGGCCCGAGGCTGGCCAATGATCATGTCGAGCGCTACACCTACAGGTGAGCACTCGCAACCCACCGCTGTTAGTCGCATAATAGATCTTCCACTGCAAATCACATGAAGGGGCCGACATGATACTGAGGGAGATGTAGATGGTCTCTAACTATGCCACTCTAACCTTCCAGATGATTCAATAAGTCCCTGGAGCGCAAACACGGCGCCTGTCAGGCCGGAGACTAGAACAAAGGAGAGAGTCTAGCGGGACGCCGGTCTCTCGCGACGAACATACCTAGTTAGATGGAGCAACTACTGTAGTTCAGTGCACTGCATCTTATCAGCAGAACCCATACTTGCACAGAATCGTTTCCTGGAAGGACATGCAGATTCAGTAAATAGGACGGCATCATTCCCGTCTAAGTGACGAAATTTTTGGATAACGTTCAGGCCACGAGGTGGGATGCTTGTCGCAGTGCTACTGTATGCGAGATGCAGGATGATGTCGGACCAGCACATAACATCGTGAGGGCGGCCGGGCAGCCGGGCGGATATAACCACGAGACGGAGCGATTGGCGTGATAGGATGCAACACTTGCCCGATTGCGCCGTCCCCTTTGTCGTACAGCAGCTGCAGGTATCCGCGTCGCCTTCATCCTGTTGATGAAACACAAACCACTGACTATCGCACCTGATGCGGCACGGCGTATCTGTCAATCACGACGTCTCCGCCGGGGCCGAGTCAGTCGCCACGACGAGATAGTCGCATCTTTGCCAGAACGGACTCGTTCGACGAACATCATCACCTTGCGAATAAGATGATGTGCGCCGCTAGACTCGACCGCGACGTGCCCCTCCAGGTGGTGGCCAACCCCTCCAGCCCTCCACCCCGCCTCGGCGGTGGGCATCGTACCAGCCTCTCTCATCGAGGTCTGACCCAGCAGGACCGGCGCGGAAACCAACCAGAACAGAAGCTCACGCAGTAGTCCGGTGGGGTCGAGGAACAAAATTGGCCATAGCTGCTCACCTCTGCCCAGTTGGGCCACTTGGAGAAAGCTCGTGAGTGGAATGACATCCCAATCAGACGTTGCCCAAACTGTCGGATGTGGAGTTATGACATAATTGTGCCCCAAGGCCAACCAGCAGATTATCATGCCGTGGGATGGATTTGTCGGCATTGGCATGGATATCTTGGAAGATTCCCACATGAGTAAGTGATTGGTGCCCGTGCTGTCATTGAAGCGGCTACAGATGCTGGCACGGTCCAAGCAGAGCCAAGTACAGCCGGGTAGAAACAGGTCAAGTGGCAGAGGATCACTCACGGGATCGGCGCAAAACGGGGAGCAACTCAAAATCCCAGCCAGTGACACGCGTCGCTGGGGGTTGTAACAGTGGCCCACGAGTCTGCCATGACCAGAAGGTACCGCGAAAGCGAGGCATTGGTAGGACGATGAAATTCAGCTCAGTATGGTAGAACGCGCTCTCCTAGCTGAGGTTACGCAAGTACCTACAGTAGACCACGGCTAATAGGATCTCGTAGAAGGTTCGGTCGGGTCAGATTTCCTCGGGAGCGGTTCTAGCTGGAAGGATAGCGCACAGACTCGGCCGCTGGTAGGCCAGCAGGCCCAGGATCGGGCATGTCGGTTTAAGATTAGCGACCGAACCAGGTGTTTCCGGCGCAGGATGCGAGTCGAAAAAAAGAAAGGGTCCATGATGACGGACCAGGACCCTGAATCTCCAAGGGCCTCTGCGTGCTCTCGCAGGGATAGAAGTAAAAGCCTGTCGTGTGGGCATCGAATGAATGCTTTGCTCAACTGGCGACACAGTCTGTTCCGTGTTTACATTCGCATACGGCGACTGGCCAGTTTGATTGCATACCGTCGAAGCTTCTGATATGGGGCCCGATGATCCCCGTTGGGAAACAGGCGGGCGTGCACAGTTGTTTCCATTACCAGCCAAGTTGCATCGACGTGGGTGCCCCCCAGCGAGGAATCGTTGTAGGCGCGGGCTCTAATTTCTGGCGACGGTATGGCTTGCGCCGACGAAATTAATCAAACAAGCCGGTCTAGTGCTGGCGCATGGCATTGACGATAAGAGAGGCGTAATGTCCGAGTCGGAGGCTAAAAGGAAAGGCGCAACATCAACATCAACAAAAACAACAGGCGGGAGCTGATTGTAAACAACAAAAGCCAACGGCGCGTCCACTGCCGGCGTGAAATGACTAGAAGCTCTGGCTGCCGATGCTGAGGTGTACCTTGGTGTAGTATGGTATGGTTACTGTAAGTCACACCTAGAATTGTCGAGGAAACCAGGTGGCCGGCCCGCCTGACAGAGAGACATGTCGGAGCACCCCCTTGGTATCACGCATTTGCCCACGGTGCCCACGGGTGCCCTCGGGGCCCCTCGTATTACCCTCCAGGCACCCAAGCAGGAAGCCATCGTGACGGGGCCACGGCTGCGAAGACTCATGTGGCTCTGGGGAGAGGTGTTAGTAGCTGGCGCGAGAGTCGCTATCGACATGGGTGTCACACCCTTTTCTCCCCAATCGCGAAGAGTCGGGGCCCATCCATGGCGGGCGAGCCACGGACGAGCAGGGGCCCTGGTCCTCGGGCGGTTGGTTGCTGGGCATCACAGATAGCAGAGATTCCCTAGCCTTCCTCTAGGATTTCTTGTCCTCATGCGGAATGTTTCGAGTGAGCAAAGCCATGAATAAACAATACTGACAGCGAACTTACCTGGGAGTACCGCACTCAAGCTGAAGCAGCCGCAGCAGCGCAGCATTGGATATTGCATCAGAAAAAAACCCCCCCCAGAGCAGCACGCGCTTTACTCGACTCAGACTTACATGCACCAAGGCAAGTGCTACCTCCTGCAGCATGGGAACTGGCGAGACAGCTGCCCATTATTGGCCCGTTCCACCCCCCAGTCCCCAGAGCATGCGGGCCCATTGGTTGGTCAGTTGGGTGCTGGGGCATCTGACTCTGCGCCAATGGCCAGTGCGCGTGGGCGCCCAAGTCTTTCTACATGGCGAGCGGCAGGCCAGCAGCGGGGGGCTTGGAGCTGATCCCACTGTTACTCCGCTGTTGTGCCCACCGCGGCCCACCAAACCACCGCGCGAACCCTGCTGGAGTGGTGGCCGTCCAGCGCGCCAGCCCCAAGCAACGGTCAGGTCTTGTACCGGTACCGACGCTGGCCCCGCCGCGCGTGGGGCCCACTCTGTCGAACAGCCCCCCCGGCTGCAGCACCACACTGGGACCAGCATGTATGGCCGAGAGGAAGAGAGTGGGCAAGGCCACGGCCATGGGAACCCTTGGGACTTGGGAGCACCTTGGGAGCACCTGGGAGCCCATGGGAGCCAAGGTGGGCCAACCCTGCTGCTTGAGTGGGCCGCTCGCCGGCCGTCCATGTCGTTTATTATATTTCCCTCTCCAACCGCCGCCGGCCAATCTTGCGATCCTCCCCGCCTGCCATCCCTCACAAAAGCTGCTTCACTGCACCTGAGGATCTCGAGAAGGGTTGAGAGTTGGAGACAGGCGTCACTCACTTTGGTTGTCCTTTGCATCCTCCGGCCTCTCGCCTCTCGCGTCCTACCGCTCCCCCTCTGTGCTTTTGCACATTCCGCCCTGCGAGACGAAACCGAGACGAGACGAGACGCTTATCTCGACCGTCTCTCTGCCAGCGTCGACCGGCTGGCTCACGGTCAAAATCCCTGGTACGTTCGACGAAACAATCCCTCTGCCGTTCTTTTCTGCTTGAGCGCTGCGCCAGTAGGTTCTCATCCTCTCTGCGCGGGTGCCGTTTTTCTGTTACTACTACTACCACCTTCTCTCCCGTCTTGCCCTTTTGTCGTTGCCGTGACACTGCTGCTGGATTGCATCGCCTCGCGCGTTGCCTCGCCTCCGCCGCCCTGGCCCTGCTACGCGACCTGCCACAAGTTCCTTCCCCTCGCCTCTTCCTCTGCCTCGGGCTCACGGATCCCCGCGCGCCGCCCGTTGAATGTGTCATTCAAAAGATTGTGTGATGTGTGTGAGACTTGTCGTTGGTCGTCCCAAGACCCATCTGCCTGACACGGAGCCGCCTGATGGCATCGAGGGCGGAGCTGGCCTATAAGAGTCAATAGCCGGACTTGGAGGCATCTCGAGTCATGGGCACCAAACCTTCAGCCGTCCTTGTGTTTCAGAGAGCACGCGGCTCTTGAGACCTCCACCTTTTCCCACTGCCGTCCCACGCGCCTAGCAACGTTGCCGTGCCTATCGTCGTGTTCATCAGTTTCATGTATCAAGACTAACCGATCGCGTCCCCCAGACTTATCTTGGCCCAGAGCCTCGAACGGTTGCTAGCCGACTCGAGACCAGAGGCTATAGACCGTTTGTTCGACCGTTCGACCCTATCGGACGAACCCCTCGTCGGGAGAGGTCGATAGTCCCCTGTACTTAACAAACGAGCCGCCTTACCGAACCGCTTCTCCCTCCGACCCTACCCCATGTCTCCGTAAGCCGAACAAATGGACTCAGAAGACGGGGAGTTCTTCATCAAGCAGCTGGCCAGCTTCGTGCGCACGCACGAGAAGGCGCTGGCCAACGCTCTACAGTTTAAGAGGCAGAACAGTGGCCCCAGACATGGCTCCTCGCAGAGCGTCTCGGCGCTGCCCGCCATGTCCCAGTCGTCGGCCCCGCTGCCCGAACGGCCCTCGACCGCGTCTTCCACGTCCGGTGGCCTGGCTGCGGCACTGTCCCTGGGCTCCTTTAGCTTCACCTCGCATAACATGAAGCCCGCCAAGCTGGCACTCACGCCGCACCACCTATTCTACCTCCTGTCGCGGTTCGAAGAGATGGGAATCAACGTTGGCCCCATGAAAGTCCGCCTGGAGAATCTGCATGACACTTCGAGCTCTGCCAACTACGTGTCTTTTCTCAGCTCCTCTCAGCGTACTCGCAGCTCTGACGTCGTCTCGATACGGTCCGTCTCGAGTGTGAGGAGCGTCATGTCAGGCATGTCGGCTCTCTGGACCAGTTTCGGTCTCGGAGCTAGCATATCGGCGGCTAGAAACGAAAAGCAGAAAGCTGCCCTCGCCGCCGACCTGAAGTATCTCTACTCGGCCTTTACGAAGATCCCCTGCCTCAGGTTTGCCCCGGATTGGCGTGCCAGGTTGATTCGTGGATACGAGGAATTTCCCTTCGACTCTGCCGTCCCGCTCTATGTTTTCAAGAACCTCCAGGCCTTGGAGATCAGCGGGATCGATTTCAGACAATTCTTCGGCTGGGATCGCCTCGCAGACCAGGTCCGGTCGCTAACACTCAAGCGTGCGGGCATCGACGACCCTGCTGATATCCTGATTGACATCGTCTTGGACGATATGGATAAGAGGCGCCGGAGGACATCCAAGAACCAGCACTCGCCCACCATACCCAACCCAAGCCCCCGGAGAAGTCCGACCATGGCCCATGCTGAATTGCACAGATCTGGATCAACCCCAGGCTCGCCCAACCCCAGGGGATCTCTTGGAGACCTTCCGGTCGGCTCGCTTGGAACCGATTCGTCGTCCCCTTATGGTAGCCGCCGCCCTTCGGTGGCCAGGATCGAGACCGATGAGCCACGATCTCCTGGAAAGTCCGATCGCCCGAGGAGCCACTCCCCTTCGCGCCCTGCCAGCTCTCGCCACCACACGGCGCCAACCACCAGACATTCGTACAAAGTCAGGCGGTCCGGCTCTGGCAGTTCCCACTCAAGCCTGTCCGACTCGTGGCACAACTCGAGGAACAGCGCATCTAATCTGTTGGGCATGGGCATACTCCCGGCTTCCAAGTGGCGTTTCCTGAAGCACCTCAGTCTAGCTGACAACTCATTGACTGCCATTCAGGCAACAAGTTTAACACCTCTTGCCAACACTCTGTACTCTTTGGATCTGTCGTCAAACTTGTTCACACAGATCCCTGACAGCCTGGCAACGCTTACCGCGCTGCGCGCCCTCAACTTGTCACACTGTATGATTGATTCATTGCACTCGCTGACGCGCAACCCCCTGCCTGCCATCACTGCTTTGAACCTCCGCGCCAACCGCCTGCAGTCTATCGCCGGGGTCGAGAAGCTCTATCCCCTGGAGAGACTCGACTTGAGAGATAACCGTTTGACTGACCCCATGGAGCTGGCACGCTTGACCGGCATTCCCGACATTCGAGAGATCTGGGTCGAGGGGAATCCGTTCACTCGAAGCCACCGGGACTACCGTATCACCATCTTCAACCTATTCCGAAAGACACCCGGCTATACTGAGGATGTCATCATAGACGCATCTGGCCCGACATATTCCGAAAAACGATATCTCGTGGAGCGGGTTGATGTACCAGCAGCTGTTCCCGTAGTGAAGCAGCCCATGCCAGAAGTACCTGCCGTGGACGTCAGCAAACCAGCCATCGTCTACGATGCACCCAAGGCACCTGCCGTACTGAGGAAGGAGCGCCCAACGCCCAAGGCGGTCGCCAGTGAGATCAACACAAGCTCGACACGCCGGAAGCGGACACCCAAACGGAGGATAGTTGACCTGGCGACGAATGATCCGGCCAAGGCGGCCAGTCAGGCCATCAAAATCAAGGAGCTGGGGGCAGACAAAACCTCGAGACCGGTCGGTACAGAGAGCAACTACCGCATCTCCCAATCGCCGGAAGCACAGAGACCGATATCGACAGAGATGAGGTCGTCGAACTCGTTCAACCTGCCCGAGATTCCCCGTTTTGACTCGAGTGCGATCTCGACGGTGTCTCCCACCTTTGGAAGTGACACCATCCCCAGCCAATGGAGAGACAGCCAGGACTGGAATGCCAGTGGGGAAATCTATCGGCAGAAGATCGAAGCGTTGAGGGATAAGGTTGGCAACGGGTACCTGAGCGTTCTCAACGAAGAGAGCTGGGAGCCAAACCGACCTCCTATTCCTACATTTTCAGGCGATTACGCCCCGGCTTCTACCATCCGACCAAGTCTAGCTAGTCCGCGGACGACGAGTGCGCAGACAATCACAAGCGGCCGCACACTCGGTTGATCCAACGGGACTTGGTCATGTCACTCTCGACCAACATCTTTGGGCTTGGTCAGCCTACCAGAATACCCCATTTTGTGTTTTTTTGCGCTTGTTTCTCTGCACATTATACACCATTGCAGCATTGTTACACATTTTTGTTTGAGGTCATGGAGCATAGCGTCGCGGCGTTTTTGGAAGGGTTGATTTTGATCTGAGGGGCTTGACACGGTTGTGCATTTGTTTGCTTCCATTTTTTGCAGAAGATACTCCCCCCCTTTTTTGTGCGCTGGATTTGGTATGACAGGAGACCAGTTGTTGGCTCGCATCAGGTTAGAGTGGTGGATGGCGGTCTCGCATGGTGAGAGATGCATCAGGAACACTTAGACTCCAAGAACGAAGTCGAGGATGAGAGCAGGAGCCCAAGCTCTCTCAGCATCTGGCTTCAGGATAGGCGTTCAGGTTGTGGTATGAGGCGAGATTGCAACGTCTCTAACGATGGTTGGGATTTCCAGCATTATAGTACACTGGTCTGCATTGAGACAGGGGACCACTCAGTAGAGAGACGGTTCCTCGGCGCCATGGTTAATCAAAAACTTGCATTCTCGCGGTGTCCTCCTACTTTCTTCTGCTTCTAGCATCGGCATCAAAGTGACTTTGATAAATTGCAAATACGACTATACTTAATTCACCAAAGAGCCCTTCCCGTATGATTTCACGATCACTTCTGCTGCAAAAGCCACCTCACCCCCACAACTGTATCCTCAACGAACTTCTTACTCGCCTCGAGCCCCGGATAGTTCGTCCAGAAGTAGTGGCCCAGGCCGGGGTACAGGTCCACCTTTGTCCGCACGCCGGCCTCCTCCCTCAGGACCCTCTCGTAGATCAGCGCCTCGTCCCTCAGCGGGTCCAGCCCGCAGACCTGGAAGTACGCAGGCGGCACGCCGCGGTGCCCGCGCTCGCCCTGCCGGCCGTAGTGGAGCGGCACCATGAGCGGGCTGTCCGGGTCGGCGCCGAGCCTCCGCAGCATGCGGCGGCCCGCGGCCGGGTCGTCGCCATCGCCGCCCAGCTTGAGCACGGGGTCCCGCGCCGGCGTCACCGCCGGGTGCGACAGGTACTCGGCCCGGTACGCCGCCGGCACCAGCCCCGGGTCCAGCAGGCACGTGATGGCCGGCACGCACAGGTACTGCCCCGTCAGCCCCGGCGACAGCCCGCTGTCCCGCGCCACGTGCGCCAGCACCGCCGCGATGTTGCCCCCCGCCGACCCGCCGCCCACGACAAAGCCCGCGCCGGCCGGGTCGGCGCCCAGGGATGCGGCGTTGGCGGCGGCCTATTTTTGGCGGGCGCGCCCGCCGTGTTAGCTGGGCGGTCGTTATCCTTCCTGGCGGAGCGGGGATGGGGAGGATGGGGATGGAGGGATCAGGATCGGGAGAATGAGACGATGGGGGCGTGGGTGGCGTGGAGGGATGTGGAGCAGCGGAGGAATGGAAACTTTCTCACCCATTGTAGCGCATCCCAGGAGTCGTTGATCCAGGTTGGGAAGGGGTGTTCCGGTGCAAGCCTGCCCTTGAACATCAGTCATCTCTGTCTATTTCTGTGTCTCTTCCTTCCCGTTTCAGATAGACGTCGAGGCGCAGCAGCATTGTCACATACCGGTACTCCACATTGACGCAGACAGCGCCGAGGTCGCGGCTGAACAGCCGGCAGTTGACCTCCTCGTCCGTCAGGTCGCCCATGCTCCAGCCGCCCTCGTGGTACATGACGATCAGCGGGCGGGCGGCGGCTCCCTCGTCGGTGGGGGGCGGCAACGGCGCCGTGGGCCGGTAGATCCGGACCGTGATCTCGGCGCCGTCGCGCACGGGGATCCGCCGGTCCTCCTCGTGCACCTGCTCCGGGATGGGCCCTGGCAGGTACCGCAGGTGGTGCTTCTCCCGCAGCGTCGTGGCGCGGTGTGCGCGCTTGGCCGCGTGGTCGTCCCGCCCGTAGTACGGGTCCGACGGCTGCGGGTCCCGGACCGGGTTGCGCTCCAGCTCCTGTTACATGGGTGAGTTACTGGGGACTTTGATCTTGGTTGTGAATGCGTAGAAAATACAAAAGAAGGGAGGGAAGTAGGGGACAGAATGGAACGAGACTCACGGCCAGGAGAGCGGGGTCCGGGATGCCGTAGGAAAGAAGCTCCTCTCGCGTGCGCGGTGCCATGGCTCTTTGGACTTGATAGTTTATGACAGCTAGGATCTCTGGTCTCGTATCGTATGCCGGGTTGGCGACGATCTAGATTGGTAAAAGCATATCTGCGAAGCGGATGGGGCCGCTTTCTATGGAAACAACTGTATGCAAGCTTAGCTCTGCTCTGATCGACGTCATATGCTCAACCACCCTTAGTCGGCATTAGGAGGGTCCTACCAGCACTCGATCAAGCACGGGCGGAATAGAAATGAGAACTACCAAGTGAAAAGCAGAAATACAGCCACATGCTTAAAGCGATAGTGAATAACATCCTTTGTCAATCTCCAGGTGCAAAGATCAAACATGATCCCAAACGAAGCGTTAACAACATTGCATTTTGGAGGCTGCGGAAACCACTGGGTCACAACAAGGGTCAGATGCTGCTGTTGAATGGCGTGAATAGATGCACTCACAATTACATGTCAATTATTCTGAGCCTAGATCCGGTGCACTCTTGAGATGAGAGACCTCCGTTCTATAGCACGGATGAATTTACAGAATGTCATCAAATGAACCTTGCGCTACCAGAGATAGTGGGGGAGTATAGCGGAACATGAGCGTTAGTCACCCCGCCCAGGATTTCTATAGCGATCCGCGCTAGGCCAAGGGGGCTAAGCTAGGGGGTCCATGGGTCCTGTGGCTGTGCGCCTGCCAGGTACCTACATCATCGCCAGCGTTTGCCTTCCCGCATGCTGCTCTCCAGCGGGCCGTGTCAATTAAAAAAAAAAAAAAGGCTGCCCGACGCGGTCCATCACCAACGCGCATCCTCAGCCTGCATTTCCGCAAGCGCATCACACCATCAACACATTTCACCACATTAGCTTAGACCACTGCGACGAAACTATCGATGCTCTCTCAAGCTCATCACCGAACCACCGAGAGGAAGACCTGAGAGTCCTCCTCCGATGAGCGCCACGGACGCGACCATGGCTGCCGATGGGGAGGAGCAGGCGCAGGGGCTAGAGCAGGAGCAGCGCATGTCGGTCGACCAAGAAGGGGAACAGGCCGCCACGAGTTCGAGCAGCGACGATGACTCCGATTCCGACTCCGGTGAACCGGCAGCCCCGCAGGTCGAATGGCTGGCGACGGGCCGAGAGAAGCGCTCGACCGCCGGGAACCGCATGAAGTCGATGCTCGCCGCAGAAGAACCCGACGACGATCTTGAGCTCCTGTTTGCCGAGGTCGAAGGGGAGGATGCCGGCTTCACCGATGTCGACGACGGCGACTCGGATGCCGTGATGGATTCCTCGTCCGACGACGAGGATGCGCAGGAGAACGCCGACGAAGACGAGGGAGAGCGCGAGCTCGAGAGGCAGGCCCGCGAGAAGCGGCAGGCGGCGCGGAAGCGCAAAGCCCAAGAGGCCATACCCGTCAAGTTCCGCAAGAAGGTCAAGATCAGCACCCGGACCGCCGCCCCCGCCACCGCCACCGACTCGTCCGCGTCGACGCCCGCACCCAGGCCCAAGAAGAAGTCGGAGCGCGCGAGCTGGCTGCCCACCCAGGCAGACATGCCCACGAGGGCCTCGAAGCGAGAGACCACCATGCTCAGCAAGGAGCAACTCCACCAGCAGATGGTGGAGCGCGAGGCCAAGCGCCTCAAGCAGATCGAGGCCATGGAGCGCAAGGCGAAGCGCATGGAGGCCATGAGGAAGCCGCCCAAGACGCAGGCCGAACGCCTGGCCGAGGCGGCCATCATCGAGAAGAGGAACGCGAAGAGCCTGAACCGCTGGGAGGAGGCCGAGAAGCAGCGCGAGGAGGAACGCCGGGCCAAGCTGGCCGCGCTGAACAACAGGCAACTGAGCGGGCCGGTCGTGACGTTCTGGAGCGGCGTGGGCGAGTGGGTCGACGGCAAGCTGAAGCACCTCGGGAAGACCGTCATCATCGAGGAGAAGCCCATCAAGAAGCGTGTTTCCATGGCCGGCCCCGGCAAGTCCTCGGATACGCCCGCCAAGGAGGACGCTGTCAAGGAGGAGCAGGCAAAGGATGCAGGTTCTACGACAACCCAAGCCCCCAAGCCAGCAGACAACGACAAAGCTGCAGTTCCGTCCGAGACAGCCGATAAGCAGACGCCGGACAATCCTAAGACGGCAGACGTCCCCAGTGAGCCCTCAGATCAGCCTGCGGCTAGACCGGAAGCTGCTTCTACGGCCGAGGCTGTGAACGCGCCGGCCGAGTCACAGACTCCAGAACAAAAAGATCCGAAGCCAAAGGCTCCAGAGTCGGAGGCTGCAGGATCAGAGGCCCCAGAGCCAAAAGCTCCAGAAGCAAACGCTCCAGAGGCAAACACCCCAGAGTCGAAAGCTCCAGAACCAGAAGCTCCAGAACCAAAAGCTGCTGCTTCGGTTCCTGAACCTCCGGAGGAACGGCCGGCGGAGACGAAGGTGATGGAGAAGACACCTGCGGAGACGAAACTTCCAGAGACAAGGCCGCCAGAGCCCAAACCTCAAGCGTCAAAACCGTCTGAGATGAAAGCCCCCGACTTGCAGCCTCCAAGCACAAGCCCCTACACGACGAGCATGTTTGCACCGCCGCCGCAGCCACAGAGCTCACCGATCATGAAACCTCCAGATATGAGCCGGCCGCCGAACAGCTTTCTGGCACCACCTCCTGGGGCTACGAAGAACGGGCTCTCGATGCCTATGCTTGCCTACGGCTCGCCAGTCAATGCCCCCTCTCATGGCTTGGCACCTCCCAATACAGCACAGAGACAGTCGCCATTGTCTATGCCGCAGGCAGCTGCTCGACCTCCTCCACTATCAGCACCTCCACCACCACCTACACCTGCAGCATCACATACAGCACCCGTGCATACTACACCATCCCAATCTACACCACATGCTCCACCCTCGCACACTGCGCCATCCCGTACGACGCCAACACCCACACCCTCACCAATGCCCCGTACAGCATCTGCTACAAAGCCCGCAGGGCAGCCGCCGGCAAAGCCTCTCAGTAGCCTCAAGCCATCGCATACGAATGCGGCTAAGAAACAGCAAAGTGTACCGGATTTACCACCTTCGCCCCGCCCACCACCACCGCCTAATGGCAAAGCCACCTGCAACTCTTTCATCCTGCAGAACTTTGATGAGAATGCCATCGAGCAGAAAAGCGTACAGCAGCGCATTCTGTTTGGCAAAGAGACGGGCAAGCTCGCAAGTGAGTCTTTCCACGTGCCCAAACTCGAGATGTAGCAAATATTAACCCATGTTACAGAGCAAGCACCGGCGCCAAGGTGTATCATCACGAACAAGGTGGCAAGGTACAAGGATCCCAAGACGGGCCTTCCGTATTACGACTCGAGAGCATACAAGGAAATCCAGAAACTGCAGCGGGGCGACTACAAATGGAGCCGATTGGTGGGTGCTTGGGTTGGTACGGGAGCATCCGCCGCCCAAGGAGTCCCGGCTCGGTTTCTCGACCCCAACGCACCCGCGCCTCCGAAGCCGGTTCCCGTCAAGCAGGAGCCGGCCAGCACCCCTAATCAAGGAGCGCCAGCCGGCGTGACGGCGTCAACACCCAGTAAAGGGGTTGAAAACGGACAGTCGGCCAAGCCCGCGACCCCTGCATCGAGCGCCACTTCCACGGTCACGCCAGGGGCTACGGCACCTACTCCAGATGTAGCGGCAGCGACCGCCAAGGCCACCACTCCTTCGTCGAATCCGCCGGCTAGTCTTGATCAGAAGGCTCCAGAGCCCGCCCCATCTGCTGCGGCAGCAGAAACGGCGCCTGTGCCGGCTGCGCAGCCTGCTCCAACAGCGGCATAGGAGGGGCGTTAGAATATCCCTTCCAAAGGGGCTGGCGCTGCACATGTTGTACTATTAGATGTAGAAGCATTGGGACATGAGAAATGACTAGGGTAAACAATGAATTTTAAAAGCCCGTGAATGGGGCCAATCCGATACCACAAAACTACTGACAATCAAATTCGATGACCCCTTTGCAAGAAACGCCTGTGACACCGTAACTCCTCGAATGCAGATGCCCGCTCGCTTGTGCCGTGTATGTACAGCACGCGAAGAAAACCACCGTATATCCCGGAAGCCGAGCGTCCCCTCCCGATCTCTACCTCTTCTTGCCCTGCTTGCGGTCGCTGTACTTGGGGAAGACGATCTTGGACGTCTTGCGCCTCTTGGCGATGCGGCCCTTGGGGTTGCGCTTGCTCGCGGACGCAGCCTTTCCGCCGTCGATGTCCATGGCGGCTGTTCGCGGGACGTGTTAGTTTTTGGTATCTCCATACGGCGCATTTTTTTTCTTCTTCAACACTTACCGTCTTCGGCGTCGGCCTCGGGGGCCTTTTGTTCGCTAGCGCTCTCGTCCTCGTCGTCCACGATCTTCATCTCGTTCTCCTCGGGCTTCGGCGGCTTGGGGGCGGCGGCCAGCTCGAGCAGCTTGGACGACAGGCGCTCCATGCGGGCGGACTCGACGGGGCCGAAGACCTTGGCCTTGAGGCGCTGGTTGTTGGCCTTGACCGTGCTGGCGCGCGAGCTCTTGGCCATGGTGTCGTGAGGGCACGGTTGTCTTTTGGCTATAGGGGGTTGTTGGTTGTCTTTGGGACGTTGGCTGTTTTGCTGCTGCAGCAGATGAGAGAGTCTCGCGCGGCCGTTATCGACTGTGCAACTTTTTGGTGGGGCTTTTTTTTCCCTCTTTTCCCAGTCGGTGTTCTTCTGTCCGCCTATCGAAGAAAAAAATTCCCTGGCAGGCCTGGGCGCGGCTGCTTATCGGCTGCCGTATCGGTTGGAGAGCCTGAGAGTTGGGGTCCGCCGTGGAGAACGAGCTTACAGTACAACCTATCTACTATCTACAGGCCCGACAGGCCTGACAGGCTAGACGAGGGGCGCCAAAGCACGAAGCCGATCCGCTACGCCCAGGTACTGGGTGGTCGGGGGACCCTTGAATGGTGCCGAGGTCGCAAACGGCAGGCGGTGTCTCTGGTTTCGCCGCCCCCGGGCGAACTGCGACGACAGGACGGGAACAGGTATGCAACGGGCGGCAAGGCTGGCTGGCTGGCTATAGACTTTTTGCATGTAGATACGACCTCAGACCACCCCCGTTCTGGGGATACCGCTTCAGCCTTCTGCACTGCTCACGAGGGCGCCCCGGGCCTTCTGCTTTCAGCCCCATCGAATCTGTATACCCGGATTCCGGTGAATAGGATCCTTGGCTTTGACTATAGCCTAACAAAGGCCCGCCCGCCGCCCGCCTCCCCGGTTCGCCCACGCACGCACGCGCGCAGCCTCTGCCCGGGTCGTCCGCCCGTCGGACGCCGTGTATTGCCACAGCCTGCTCCGGGTTTCTGGGGACACGACGAGCCCACCCTATACCGCGCCCGTGTCCGCGCCGACAGCGCCGGTTCGAGCTTGCCTCGCGCTTCTCTTCCCCCCATGCGGCAACCAAAACTCCCGCCTCAGCACCGCCCACGCCTCAGCCGAAGCCCAAGAAGCCTCACGCGACGACGGTAGCCAGGCCCGTCCCCTCCCCCACCCACGATGGCTTCCAACGCCAACGCCCAGACCCAGAGGGACATCTCGTCGCTCTATGCCCGGGTCCAGACGCTGCTGGTCAAGCAGCTGCAGAACGTCTGCCAGGTCAGCGGTCTTAAGTCGAGCGGTGTCAAGGCCGATCTGCAGAAGCGCATCCTCAACGGTAAGGAATCCCCGATCCCCAGATACTGCCCCCTTTCCCCCCCTCTGCCCCTCCGTTTCGCGCTCAGTTCACCTCTGCGCCGTGTGTTCGCGCCTGCCCAGGCACTCACTCTCGTATATCGCGCCCGTTCACCCAGGCGACAAGACCTAGACTGTCATGTGCCCAAACAATCACAACTTGACTCTTGACCTTTCCACTCTACTCCTCCATTCCCATCCACCACACCGCCCCTTCATTCTCGGTTCAGACGAAAATCATCCTGGATCCAGACAGTATTCCACACCTTCTGAAGAACGAGCGCTGACAAAGGCCTTTTCTCCCTCCGCAGCCCTGTACGAGAATGTCAATGCCGACCCGGCACAATACGGACACATCAAGGACGCGATCAACAACGTCATGGCAGGCTCAGGTCGCCACGTGAGCAACGGCAGCTCTGGAGCCGGCGGGCCCTACGGCCGGGCAGGCGGAGGAGCAGCAGGAGGAGCAGGAGGAGCCGGCGCATTCTCAGCAGCCCCGACCACACACGCGACGGCGCACCCGCCCGTCTACGGCCAGAACAGCTTCAGCGGCTTCGGCAGCCAGGGCCGCGCTGGCTATGGCGCAGGAGGAGCCGGCGCATCGGCTTCCGCGCCGCAGCGGCCCGGTACGATGCCCTTCCGCCCGTTTACCTGGCACTCTCCTTCCCCGTCCTCAGGTCTAATCTCGCGTCCAGCACTCCAGTTCAAGGCCAGCCCCTTCCACAAGATGGAGCAGATCCTCGGGAACGTCCGGACACTTGAAGGTAAGGTTCACCTCCTGGCTGGTTTCCATATCTCTGGGCGACGATCTCGTTCGCATGTGCGCCACTTCTTGACGAGAGACATTTGAGCTTCTTGTTTCCAGCCTGGATTACCGCTTTGAAGCTCACATGTCAAGGATTCCCCTTTTTTTGCGACAGGAGAGGGCGAGCCTTCTGACCGGTGGCACATGATGCTTCTCATTTTCGTTCGCCTCGCGCTTTGGCCATGTGCTGATTTTTACTCCAGTCATGTCGCAACATCGCAACTCAACCAACATTCCCCTCAAAATCAGCGACGTGCCAGCTCTTGCCCGTTGTATACATGACAAGACGTTGCGCGTCATGGTCTTCTGCGCCGCAGATGACCGAGGACCCCAGGACATCGCGTTTCCCTACCAGTCGGAGCTCAAGGTAAACGGGGGCGACATCAAGGCCAACCTGCGAGGCCTCAAGGGCAAACCTGGGTCGACGCGGCCGGTAGACATTACCAGCTCGTTGCGCCTGGACAAGAACTCATACGTGAACAACATTGAGTTTACATATGCGTTGACCACTAAGGTGAAGAAGCACCAGGCGGCAGAGAGACAAGTGAGCATTGATTTTTCTCCCGGATCCAAGTGGTGCCCATGCTCACGTTACCCCCTGTCTCTTCTGTTCGTTTCATTTGGCTTTACGAGTAGTCTGTTTACTGACTCATGAATTGTAGAAGTTCTATCTGGCGCTGTATCTGTGCAAGCTGGTCCCAGTTGACGAGCTGGCGGCGAGGGTCAAGGGCAGGAAGATCCCCCGAGCATCCGTCATCAAGGAGCTCACCAAGGCAGCACACGACCCCGACGTTGTCGCCACGTCTCAGGTCCTGTCTCTCAAGTGCCCTCTGACCTACGGCAAACTGAAGAACCCCTGCCGGTCCACCACGTGCAGCCACATCCAGTGTTTCGATGTCACGTCGTATCTCTATCTCCAGGAGCAAGGCCCCCAGTGGGTGTGTCCGATCTGCAATAAGCCGGCGACGTTTGACAACCTCGCCATTGATGAGTACGTGAAGGGTATCTTGGACAGTACGTCCGAGGACACAGATCAGGTCACGATCGAACCTGATGGGCAGTGGGGCACAGAAGGGCGGAAGGAGCCCGAGCCCAAGAGGCCTCGAGTTTCGGGGGCGGCGTCCATGACGAGTGTCAACCTCGACGACGACGACGACATTGTGGCGCTCGACGACTTTAGCATCGTCAGCAACCGCACCACGCAGACACCGAACCGCTCCATGCTCGGCACGCCGGCTGGTGCGGCCAACGGGTCCTCATCGACGCCCAACGGCAGCCGGAAGAGACCGGCCGCCGAGGTCATCGACCTGACGTTGAGCGACGACGACGACGACGCGCCTCTCCACGCGCCCAAGCGCCAGAACTATGGCACGAGTGCGAGCTTGACCTCGACTCCGGACTGGAACTACGGCGCGACCTTCTAGCGCCCCATCAGGGGGAACGGCGCACGACGAAGAAAGGAAGAAAGAAGGGAAGGAAAACTTGTGCATTGTATTAGGCGTTGGTGGCTAAGGATGGCATCTTTTTACGTACCTTGAGGGGGGGAAACACGGAGAATTCCCCCACCCGGATATACCACGAGTTTTCTTGCAGCGGACCAGGGAGAAGAGAAAAATGGGAAGCCTTGCTTATGATGAACCCACCCCCCGGAAAGGAAATTGCATAGCTGTGCCATGCAACATGGTGCGATGGATTTGTTATTGTTGTCATGATCGTTTCTGGATTGCTCCTCTTGACCTGTGTATCTACCTATTTGATGACCAAGGCAGTGAGAGAGAGAGACTGGGTGTGCGAGATAGAGAGGCTGCTTCACGTCGGATTCCCAGGGTGGTCTGGCAGACGGGCATGCTTGTCCGTCTACTTATGCAAGCCACCCCGTTCTGCCAAAAGTGTGTTGGGCGTATCGGTCGTTGCGCTGGCCTGGCCCGCTGAGCTGCTCGGCAGCCAATATACTGAATCTATATCACGAGCTCGATGAGGGGTGTGGTGTCTGCTGGCGTGGGGAGTTGGTTTTGGGTGCCGGCGCAGGTGAAACGCAACGTTATGAAGCCTATTTTACGATCTCTCGGCCGGGCGTGAACTTGAATTACTGGGTTCCTAGTACTATGATTTTAGCACGGGACCACGCGAGGTTTAACACTAGAACAATGGGAAACGGAAACCCTCTCTCACCAAAGTATGTCGAATGCAGAGATGACAAGGGCTGCACGGGGCATTTCCAAGGCTGGGTTTGTTGGATTGGTGTGCATGCGTTGCTGAACTCCAGGCCTCTTATAGGACATGCAATGGATATTTCCCTAGGCAAGTAGATCAGATACTAAGAAAGGGGCTATAGTAAAAGCACCCCGCTAGCTGAACCCCAAGGGTCTTTCCTGAGGCAAGAATACACTTTTCCAAAGGTTTTCTGTATAATCTTCAAGATAGGGGGACCAACTCACATTTCACGAAATCTAGATTATGCTGCAGCATCTTATTTTTTTTAGCCTGCTCAAATACAACCAGGGCTGCCCCCCAAACTCTCTCCAGTTGAAAATGCCCCCCCCCCCAGACGCCAGACAGAGGGCGCCCCACCACCACATAGAAGCTCCCCCACAGAGCCGCCGCGTCGCCAGACCGGGCCCCTCGTTCCCTTGACCTCACCCCCTGGGCCCGGCTCAGAGCTTCAGCCCTATCCACTCCAGACGTCAGTCAACGTCGACCGCCGCCTCCAATCTCTCAGCCTCGCGGGTCTACCCTTGACTTTGGGCGCGTTACCAGGAAAGCCGACCCTCCAATTCACCCTTTGCATACACGTCTCGGGTCTAGAGAACAGCCAGCGACTCCGATCATATTACCAACTTGAGCGAGCCTCAATTGCGACGACGGCCTTTCGCACACGCACATACCTCCTCCCCCCCCCCCCTATACCTCGGGGAACCACAGCGCCGGCGTACAAACCCGCAAAGCTGCATACGGCACATAGCCCGGGTTCTTCAACTCGACCAATGCGCCGCCGCCCATAGCACAAACACGAGCAACAGCAGCGCGCCCGGGACTTGAAACGTGGTAGAGACAAGAGGCACCAAGAACGAAAACCACCAGCACCATCACCACCACGCTTCGCACGCACCAGACCACAAACCCCCCCCGGCTTCGGCGGCCGCGACCTGCAGGAGCGAAACAGACGACCCAAAAGCGAAGAACAAGAAAGCAAACAGGCAACCATGTCCTTCGACCAGCCCCTCCCGCCCTTCAACGCCTCGGACCCGACGGCCACCTTCCTCAACTCGTCGTGCCTCGACCTGCTGCTGATCGAGATCGTGCCCATGGCGTACCGGCTGGTCAACGAGCTGGACGACGCGGCCGAGGTGGCGGCGGCGGACCGGAGCACAGCGGCGGGGGCCGGGACCGGGACCGGGACCGGGACGGCATCCAAGCAAGGAGCAGGTGGTGATGCCGCCTCGCTGTCGACGACGGCCACGGCCACGGCGACGGGCAGGAAGCTGGACGATGAGGAGGAGCGCGATGCCGTCTTCTACCGGCTCGAGACGCTGGGGTACCGTGTGGGACTTGGGCTCGTCGAGCGGTGAGTGTGTGTGTGTGTTCATATTGCCCCCTTTGCCCAGCGTACAGGTCTCTCTCTCTCTCTCTCTCTCTCTTTCTCTACGTGACCTTATCTCTCCGTCTCTCTCTATGGCCTGGGCGCCCCCCTCCCCTTTCCCTCCTACGCTACCTGATTTCGTCCCAACAAAACCGGAAAAGAACAAGTGAGGGAAAAAAGGAAAAGGAAAAAGTGCCGCCGCTGATTAGGGGGCCAAACCAGCTTCTCGCGCGACCGGCCGCGCTTCAACGACACGCTCGACGTCATCAAGTTCCTGTGCAAGGACCTGTGGACGCTCGTGTTCCGCAAGCAGATCGACAACCTCAAGACCAACCACCGCGGCGTCTACGTGCTGACGGACAACCTGTTCCGGCCCCTGTCGCGCATGAGCACCGACGCCGGCGGCCAGGCCGTCGTGCGCGCCCAGCCTGTGAGTTTTTTTTTTCCTTTCCTCGCTTCCTCTTTCTGCCTTCTACTCTTGTCATCGACATTTGCTGTTCAGCCTCCCTCTGTATTGTCCCACTACCCCAAAATCTCGTGTATCTCGTACGTCTCCCGTCTTCTTTATACGAGACGAGCGGGACGACAGAACATGATTATCACACAAACCAAACCAACAAACAAACAAACACGCCGAAATCCCCATTACTGACACGAACCCCGCGCCGCCGGGGGGGGTCCTCCAGTTCCTGTGGTTTCCCTGCGGCATCGTCAAGGGCGCGCTGGCGGCGCTGGGCATCAACGCCACGGTGCAGGCCGAGTCGAGCGAGCTGCCGGGCGCCGTGTTCCAGATCAAGACGATACCGGCCAAGTCGTGAGAGAAGAGAGACGGAACGAGAGAAGAAGATTAAAAACCCCCGTTCCCCCTTTCTACGCTTTTCTCGTCTCTTACCGAGTGAGGTCGGAGGGGACGAGGTTTGGGTGTTCTTCTGGCCTGTCCCGTCTGTCGTATATCCGGCGCCGCCCGAAGGCAAGACTAGGGATTTGTGGCGCAGCTTGCCAATGTAGTAATGCACGACGCCGGAGGTGGGCGCGGGGGCATGAGCGGGGTGGAAAGCATCTAGATGGAGTGATGGCGTTCTATGGCGTTTATGGCATTTGGTGAATATCTACATGAAGATTTGTTTGCCTCCCCGTTTCCCACCCGAATCCTTTCCCGTCTGTATGTCCATCCGTGCTTCTGCCTGAGCTCTCGTCCCTCTCAAACCGTCGAATCCTCAGCCCCCCTTTCCACCGCCACCATCCCGTCTCGGTTCGCCGTCGTCAGAGCGCCAAGCGCTGGGCGAGTGTAATTCCGCGCGGGGGGGATCAAGATAAAAGGGGTTCATCACTCGGGAAGGGTTAAATTCCTAAGGACATCACGTTTACAGCCTGGGGAGAACGCATGCTATCAGTCACCGGTCTCGTCATTTTATCGCTCAAATCATGCTTTTTTGTTTGTCTACACACCACGCCGTTCCATAGGCAAACTGTGTGTCCCATGAACCCATCAAGAATAGGAAAAGGCGCAAACGTCCGCGAGAGACCTCGCGGTCTGGGGGGGAAAGTCAGATGGGGTAGATTTACTTCTGGGGAGGGTTGTGGGCAAAGTTGATGCCCTTCTCGATGTTGCCCTTCAGGCCCTTGATGGCAGCGTCCAACAGGGTCTTCTCCTTGTCGGTGATGTTGGCCAGGATGTCGGTGGCCTTCTCGGCACCGTTGGGCTGCGAAAAACCGTTAGTCCGGGCTGTGGTCTCTGTGAGGCCATTGCACTTACGCCAAGCTCCACGGGCACGGAGAAGAAGTCGACACCGGTCTTCTCGGCAATCTCCTTGCCGCCGGGGACACCGGGGAGGTAGATGTAGCTGGGCTCTACAAGGCCCTTCTCACCCTTGATAGCCTTGAGGACCTTCTCGGCGAAGCTGGGGAGGGAGGGAAGTCAGTCAGCCGGCATCAGCGAGGACGGGAAGTACATTAACGTACCGGAAGCCAGCGAAAGCCATGGACAGAGTGGCGGAGCCAGCACCGTCCTTGGCCTTGACGACCTCATCACCACCGAACTGGACGCGGTTGACCAGAGCATCGTACTTGTCATCGGGGATGGAAACGCCGGGCTTGACGGCGCTGAAGAGAGGGACGATGGTCTCGCCGGAGTGGCCTCCGATGACGGGGACGGTGAGCTCGGAGCCGGTCTTCTTGCCAGCAATCTCGGCAACAAAGGTCTCGGCACGGACAATGTCGAGGGTGGTGACACCGAAGAGTCTCTGGGGGTTGAAGACGCCCTTGGCCTTGAGGACCTCGGCGGCGATGGGGACGGTCGAGTTGACAGGGTTGGAGATGACCAGGATGTAGGCCTTGGGGGCGACCTCGGCGGCAATCTCAATGAGGCCCTTGACGATGCCGGCGTTGATGTTGAAGAGATCGTCACGGGTCATGCCGGGCTTGCCTGCGAGTCCGTGTAAGTCACAGTGGCGCTGTGGACACCCACCCAGCCACCCGCGTACACACGGGAAAACTGCAGCTGGCGCCGTGGGGTCTGGGGTTTGGGGACGGGGTTTTTTTTGCACGTACGGGGAATGCCAGCAGGGATGACAATGATGTCGGCATCCTTGAAGGCGGCCTTGCCGCCCTCCTCCTTGGGCAGGTAGCCGGTGACTTTCTGGTTGTTTCAGATGCGTCAGCCACGAAGATCCTACCTGAGAGCAGAGGGGAGGGGTTGGAGGGGTAAGGGGAAGTCTTACAGCAGTGGAGGAGATGTGGGAAAGATCAGTAGCAACACCCGGGGTGTTGACGACATCGTAGAGGGCGAGCTCATCAACGAGCGGGGAGAGCTTGAGGAGGAGCGAAAGAGGCTGCCACGGGTGCGTGTTAGTCGTCCGGGCTCCCGGATGAGTAGGCGGATTAGTTCAAGGGACATGGGGGAGGGGACGGACCTGGCCAATGCCGCCAGAGGCTCCAGCAACGACTGTTCGGTAGTGTCAGCGATTCGATCTCGAGATGAGCAGAGAGGGGGACAATTCGTTGGTGACATACCTGCCTTGACCATTGTGACTGAAGTGATTCGTGGCTGAACGGGTGTGAGTGTTAGGTGGGGGGTTGCGGGCGTGTTGGGAGTCGAGCTCTAGAATGCGGGGTCAGAGAAGATCAAGATGCAGACGAGACACGGTAGAAGACGTGTGGACTGACGATGGCAGAAAATGAGAGAGCAGGAGAGGGGGAGGGAGAGATGGCGCGGACAATGTGAGAAGAATATCAATGGAGTCGGGAAGGGGAGAGGAGGGCCAGCGGACTCACCTGTGCTTATTATAATTCACGCGAGCTTCGGGACGGGCTGGCTGCTGGCTGCTGGTCTGCTTGTCTTGGGTTCGGGTTTTGGGTTTTGGGGGAAAGGGAGCAACCACGATGGCGGGGCAGACCAGCAGCCAGCCAGCAGCCAGCCAGCAGCCCGCAGCGTGTACCTAGCCCGAAAGGTTGCTCTGCTCGTTGGGAACCGAAGCAGAGCAAGCAGCTCTCTGCCCTGGGGCCGGGGGCCTGGCGGGCGGGATCCTCACAAGCTCCTGCAACCGCCATCCCACATCCACAGGGACACACAGGCACCCCCAAGCCCTGTTTCGGCCTAGTGGACCGGGGTCCGAGTGGCATCCATGGGATGGGAGTGCGCGACCACACTGACCCCGCCATCGCCATCGGCCCAGATACATTCAGAAGTGCTTTTGCAGAGCTCAACAGTCGTCGTAGCTGCTGCCAGCAGAGTCAGGTGCCCGATCCATTGGACACCGGACTGCAGCATGCACTCGCCAGCGCTTGCGCAGCATTGGATTCGCATTCCCCTGTTCCAGCATCTATCTGTCCTGTTTCCCGCCCAGCCATCGGGAGGCTCCAGATTCTAGATCCCACCCAGCCTTGTAACTGCGTCTCTGGTGTGCTTTAGATCCCGAGTGCGGATAGCTGGGTCTCACTCGAGGACCACCTACCTGCCTTGGACAAGACACACACACGTACACACACACACACACACACAACAAAACCACCCGAGTGAGGGTCCAGCCAGCCTGCCCATCTTGTCTTGCCGACCCGATCATCGTGACTATTGCCGCACCGTTGCCGGCGCACTAGCGAGCCGCATCGCCCATTTGCCCATCCCGCACTTGTCGTGAATCTTCGTGTCCCGAGGTATTATTCACCCTGCCCGTCTACGCCTCGGGCGGGACCGGACTCTGGACGACAATATCTCGACCACGGCATTCCGACTCTATCCACCCGTCGATTATCGTGCGGATTCTCGTCAGGAGTACCTACTGTACAGTCACTACTCCCATACGTAATAAGGATTACATAGCACGTAGCCGGACCATGTTGGCGGCGACTCCCAGTCAATCCACAATTGGGCTGTCCCGCCGCCGAGGAAACAAGCTGTGTCACATGGCGCTCGGCATTGGGTGAGCCCCATGACGTGATGAAGCGCAGCCGCAGTTTCGAGGCTCCACGCCCGTGTAAAACAATCTTTTGACAATCAATGACAGGAAACGCTTGGCAGCAGACTGTGGTCCGAATCCCAAGTCGTCTCCCCACCAGGTTTCCAGCCTTCGCCTCTGGATGGAGCAGCAGCAGAAAGGTAACGCCGCAGGCCGTCCGCCCAATCCTGATGAAACCGTACGGCCCCATGAGAGAAACGTCGCTGTCACTTCCAAGACGCCATGCTGAGACTGGCTCCTCGCCGCTGTTGTTTCCATGCACTCGGCCATAAGTAGCGACTTCCAGGTTGTCTGTCTGAGGGATATCTCTGCTGAGGTTGAAACCTTTTGTATTCGCCAAGCTGCCCAACGGCCCGTTACCAGGGCTCTACAAAGCTAGCTACAGAAATACGCCTGTTTCGCCAACCTGAACCTTCCCCGTACTGTCCGTGGGGGGAAAACCCCCTCTCCCCTCCATGCCGTTTACAAAGCAAAGGAAAGCATCTACGACGACGCGGCGGCGGCGGCCTTCTTGGCAGCGTTGCCGCGGAGCTTCTTCTCGGGTTCGGGCTTGACCTCAAGCTGGGATCGGCGGATGGCAGAGACGCGCTGGACGGCGGCCTCGCGCAGGTCGGCACGGTAGCCGTTCTTGGCGGTCTGGTTGGCAACGGCCTTGTAGGAGCTGTGGCGGAGAGGGAGGCCGGGTCAGTCATTTGTGCTCCTCATATCCCATTGCCCGGGTACTTCCCTCCCAGGCGGTCCAGTAGAGATGTACACAGAGCGACCGAGGGAGATGGATGTAGATCTCAATCATCCGAGGGGGGAGGCTACTCACTTGCGAGCAGACTTGCCACCGTGGAAGGTGGTCTCGGTGGTGCTGGTGGCGGGCTTGTGCTGGGTAGCAGGCTTCTTGCTGACGACCTTGACACCGCCCTTCTCGTTGGGGATAACACCGACGGCCTGTTCCAAAAAAAAAAGTATTCGTAAATGCGCTTCGTTATCCCGAGGGGTGTTTTGTAGGACTGCGTCTCATACCTTCTCGTTGACGAAACCGGCGTACTGTATGCCACCCCTGTTAGCTGGACCACGCCTTTGAATTTTGACCCGTGTCTTTGCTCCGGGCTGGGCCTCGTGTGGGATTGGCTGGCTCACCTTGCGCGAGTGCTTGTTCTTCAGGTTCATGGGGTCCCGCGAGAACTGGATGCCGCCGCTGGTCTTGCTCTTGACGAGGAAGGCATTGTTGGAGCCTGGACGACGGGGTAGAACGAAGCAGATCAGCTATCAAATTTCTCGTGTGCGCGGGCTGTGTGTGTGTGTGTGCCGCCCAAAAAGCGCGGTCGCGGGGTCCCAAACTTACGGACGATCTCCCAGATCAGGTCCGACGAAACTTGAGGGCTGGCCATTGTGAGCGTGTGGGGGGGTTGAGGATTCGAGATGCCTTGAATCTGGTGGTGCGTCGAGAGTTCGTCGTCGTTTCGTTCGAAAATATGCCCGATAGACAATTCTCACCGATCTCTGCGATTGATCTGTGGGAGTCGCTTAGCATACCTAAACTAGCCTAGGGCGACGGTCCCCACTAGCGCCACTGCCCAGCAGCCCATCAGCCCATCAGCCCCAGGTGGTCATTAATTCTGGCAACGGGGCCACAGGTGGCTCAAGGTTGTCGACAGGACGTGGCGGTGCATGAGTTGTGTCAGCTATGGGCTAACTATGCGCCACTCCCTGCTGCTCCCAATCCCTCTCGATAACCTAGTTGGTGTATGTATCCCTTGCCCCCTGTCGAATGCTGTCCTCGATGAGAGTCCCCAGAGTCTTCCAGGGTTGAGTCTTCCTTGGTTGGGACACACTCTACGCGGCCAAACACGCATGAAAGAAGCACAGCGCCCCACCCTTGCTTGCCTTGGCTCAGTTCATGCTGCCGCGTCGTCAGTCTCTCTGATTAAAGCAATCTACCACAGTAGTGCCAAAAGTGCCCAGCGGCCTCCCCTTTGCGACGCCGAGCCCAGGAGAGTCCGTCGTCGTGAGCTTCCCCAACCACGATTCCGCTGCACTCGACTGCGATACCCCCAGGTCCAGCAGATGGCCCGTTACAGTATGCGACTTCTGGTCTAGTTGCGACTGCACATCTGCAACAGTTTCGCTTTTCTTCTTGTTCTGTCCGTTGGCCTCCCTTTCCGAGACCCCGTTCCACCAGAGGCCCGTACGTCCGTCAGCCGCACGCCAACGTCCCATCGCTTCCGAGCAGACCGACCTTGCCGTCGATACGAACGAGCGCGGCGAGCGTGGAAACCCCATCGGCCGACTTTCTTCGACACCGATTCCTCATCACATCTTCGTTACAATACAGTACATTTAATACCCACTACTACAATACTCGACTCTCCTTTCCTCTTCTTTCCGACTCGTCCCTCGGGTAACTCCAGCATTTACGACAGCAACCCACCCACCGCCAGGCGATCGCAACCCAGCCCAACCCCAAGCGGCAACAATGGCCTACCTCCTCCCCTCGCTGGTCCTCCTGACCCTGATCACGGGCACGATCCTGTACGTGACGCGCGCGCACTGGCTGCACCTGGTGCCGGACCTGTCGGCGTACGGGCCGGGCCACCTGTACGCGCGGCTGCCGTCGTCCTTCACGGGCGACATGGAGGCCGGCCTGAGCAGCAGCACCTTTGACCTGACGGGCAACGTCGAGTCGGGCGACGGCCGCGCCGGGCTCGACGACGCCGCCAAGGCCGAGATCCTCAAGATCATGAAGAAGCGCCGCCTCCGCTTCGACGCCGCCCGCAAGGTCTACATGGAGCAGCGCTTCAGCGCCAACGGCATCGGGCCCGACGGCCGCCCCCGCGACCCCAAGTTTGTCAGCTTCTCGTGAGAGAGGAGAAAACGGAAACACGAGAGGGATTTAGGGGTGTTAGGCGTCAAGTGGGGGCAAACGAGAGACCGAGCCGGATCGCGAACCTCTTTGCATACTGTACCTCGCCCAACGGCTCCAATACGAGAGTGGAATCTGTAAGGGTCCGAAATTTCGACCGGGACCCAAATGACTGAAATATATCAATCGCCAGGAAGCCCGCATCTACTATAAGCGGTGGCGACGACAGATACAGTTTGTTTGAGGGGCATTGGCACCGACGGAGGAAGGCAGGAGCCCCAAAGCGGCTGCAGGGAGCTTGGCTTGGATTTCCAGTCATTCGACGTGATCTGTTTTCTTGTGTCTTTTTAGCGTTACGGCGTTGGTCGGCTGGCTGGCTTGCTTGCTGGGATTTTTTCAGGCTTCAGACTTCCCGCGACATGGGAAGCGAAGACGGGCGGCGCGGATGCCGATTCAACTACTCGACTCTTTTCACTAAGGTTTCCTTTTACTCTGTTCTTACTTTTTTTTTCGGGCCATGTAGAGCAATTCCTTCCTATAGGGGGATGACTCTAATCTGAGAAGGCTTCAGTTCGCACTAAGATCCCATTGCTTTCGGGGCCTTCGGACACTGTCGGTCCTCTGTTATCGATAGTTCACATCAACTTGACATCAAAGGGGTTGACAGGCTTCATTTTTCTTGTCCAACTATATGTTATGGTGCCCGTGCTTTGAAAATGAGTATACGTATCCACACAATGTCTTATATATACGCCCCGCCCGTACGACCACTCTCATTATCAACTTTGGCTACTAGATCTGTTGCTTCTTCCTACACACACATTTATAGGGAAACAGCATTCTCGGACAGAACGACTAGCACTGGTTTAACATAAACCGAAGAGTGGGGTATAATTATTAGTATTTCATAGTCTTTCATCCGCGGTGGGCATTACAAATATGATATAAATCGTCTGCATCCTTGAGATAGTGACACGGAGTGGCCTCCTGGTACCCACACTCTATCCTCAGATGGCCCGAGAAACCCTACTGCGGTGGCGAAATCCTGCTTCTTCCTACTTGCTGTGAAGAAGATATAGATGTACGTGGCCGCCATGATCCTGAAAAATAAAAATAACGCCTGCTGCCATGATTGCACTCATCCCGTCGTGGGCGAGGCTGGGCTAGCTTTTCATGCATATGTACATAGATTTTTGTGTCATATAGCCCCAGGCAATGACAGCGCCCCCTCTTCATTCAGAAAAGAGCCCTGTTCTCATAAGGTTTGTGGATATGTACACATACAACCTACGGTTGTGTATCGACAATACCATCCCAAAGGGTCTCTCATTGAACATCGGATGGATTGCTTCGCCGCTTGTCAGGGTGTAGAAACAGCGAGGTCCCTCGCTTATTTGTTCTTCTTGACCTCGGTCGGGTCGTACTGGCGGTCGTCCTTGCCCTCGACCTCGAGGACCATCTTCTCCATCTCCTTGACCTGGGCCTTCCACTCCTTCTGGCTGAACTTGGTGTCGCGCTGGAACAGCTCGTCGTTGGGCTTGCGGTAGCTGCCGCCGAAGCGGTCCCAGAGCGTCGTGTACTGGCCGTAGTTGTAGTTGAAGTACAGGTGGTGCATGGTGTGGCAGGCGGCGCCGTTGATGACGGGGCTGTTGGCCACGTACTCGCCGTCGTGGATCATGATGGTCCAGAAGTTGACAAAGATGAACAGCCCCACGTACGCCAGCTTCTGCAGCGGGAACAGCAGCGGGTACACGTGGTACGGCAGCGCCTGCGCCCAGCCGTCGACCGGGTGGAAGGCGTGCGACGCGTACGGCGTCGGCATGATCCACTTGTGGTGCGGCTTGTGCAGCGTCTTGTAGACGAGCGGGTGGTGCAGCCCCCGGTGGATCCAGTAGATGCAGAAGTCGGTGAACAGGATGAAGAACGGGAACTGCATGACGTTGTACCACGCCCCGGGGCCCTCGTCCGGCGTGTCGTAGCACTTGGTGAAGCCGCGCACCTCGGCCAGGAAGAAGGGCAGCGTCAGCACCGACATGATGGGCATGGAGATCATGGTCTGCCGGATCTCCAGGCGGATCTGGTTCTTCAGGTATTTCGGGTGCTGGAAGGTCGCCTTGTCGAAGATGAACAGGTACGATAGCGTTGCGAAAACAAAGTAGGTGAGCAGACCAAAGATCCTAGGGGAGAGCGCAAAGTTTAGCAACGCGGCGGTATAGTATAGGTGGGTGGCGCTTTGTCACAGGGCCCAAACTCACCAGGTGATCAGGAACAAGTTGACCGACTGGCGGTAGATGTTGTCCCTGTCCCATGCGCTCATGTAGGCATACTGGCTGGGCTGGACCTGGAGGTACTTGGTCGCGGGCTCATAGCGCCACGCAGAGAAGACTTGCTGCGTCGAGTTTATGGTCGAGTCCGGGAAGTCGTACGGGGCGGGACGCGCCGGCAGCAGGTATGCGTAGGCATAGTCGCCTATAAAGGTGTCCCAGAGCTCATTGACGACGTCCATGGCGAATATAGAGAGTGTGAATCGCCCAGCAGACAAAGTACACGAAGCTGCGCGCGTGCCAAAGAAAGATCAAGGCAAAGGCAAAGCGAGGCCGAGCCCGAGGCGCAAGCAAAAAGAAGGAATATGGTCAGGAAAAGAGAGCGGCAGATTGCAATGTTATCGGACAATCAATATGGAGGGTAGGGGCGGAGCGACAGCACGGTAACGGAAATTTGCTCCCTCGTACTATGCAATTCTCGCGAATTGCAGGGATCAGGCGGCCTCGTTAAGGGGGGTTTCTTTCGTCCGGCGCCACGCTTGAGCTGCAGGATGAATTGAGTTGGCGGGTTTGCAGATCGGCCTAGGGGGAAAGAGACCCTTCTTTTTTTCTCCGAGTTGTTCAAGAAACTTTTGGTTACGACGCGGGAGAAGGGGGAATGCCAAAACTCAAAATCTCTCCGTTGCTCGACTATAAACCTGGCGAGGCAGCAAATGAGGACACAAGAGGCCGACGGATGCAACGGAAACCTAACTTGGACATTTACTCAGTGGCGCGTCGCAGCCTTTTTGGTGTCGCCTCTGGGAGATTGCCTGCGCGCCCCTGGAGACAAATATCGGATATATCGAACGACAGTGCCCCCATTTTGCAGCCCCAACGACTGACATCAGGTCACGCCGGAAATCGGGGTCCCCATGCTCATAAGGCGTGGAGCATTTTCTAAGTACTTAGTTAGGTACTCGTGGTGTTAGTGGCCAAGGCTGGCGCCAATTCAAAGTACATCTTTCGCTGGGGGTATGATGATATCCGTCGAGCACAGCCGCTTGATGGTTTATAGTAAAGAAGAAGTTTCCCTGCCTTAATACAATGCTTCCCGCTGAAGATTGTACAGGCCAATGTGGTTGCACAAGACTCGATCGAAATAGGGGATCGTGTAAGCTGATTGGGTAGCCCCCCCTCAAAAATGCACCCCGCAGGACCGAGCTCACCGACTTGAGAGATAGAAAAGCGCGGTTCGATGATATGCAGGTGAGCGAAACATCTCATTCGCCCAAATAATCAGGCCACTCAACATCGGAGTTTTCCAAAAGTGACCAGTCAACCAGTGAAGGAGAGTGGCTTGCACCGCCGACTCTTCCCTGAGCAATCTTTTAGTCAACCCGCTGTTCGGTACCGTACGGCTGCATGTGCCAATGCAGGCTTTGCAGTGTCGATATTCAATTATACGAATACTCGTGTTCGTGTTCTCCATGCGCTGCGTCGCGATGGCGATGGCGATCGTCCCACTGATGGTGCTAATGCGCCCTTGGCAAGATCTCCTTGATCTGATAAGATTGGACAATCTGACAGTCTCGGGGCCCGTCTCCGGCCGACAACGGTATTTCCGTGCCCGTCCAAGCCTTTTGCCTGCGTGTTCAGCCAGCAGTTTGCGAAACTCAATAACAATAGTTCTTCCGCTTCACACGTCTGTCCGTGCCCCTTTCTGTGGCCTGGACCCCCAGGTTTGATAAGACATTTATATATATCTGAACATGCACTCTCCACAAACATACAGATCTCATGACCGGCCAACTGCACCTGCATGTCTATACCAGCTGGGTGTCTCTTTGGAAAACTCATTTGATTATGTGCTGCACGATCAAGTAAACGCGTCTCAATCCTTTAGTCGTAGTGACAGCTCTGGTGTCGTCCGATAACATCCTTGGAAAAATAGGAACGGCCTGGTATCCAATTGTTCTTAACAGGACTGGCGCTTATTCTAGTTTTATATACAAGTCTTCAATGTATCTTGCAGTACTCCTTATTGGGTTTGGAGGTCCCTTAATGGGGAGGCTCGCCAGGCGTGTGTGGGACACCGTGCTCAACTGCCCACGTCCGAAGACTCTCAAAGTTCCTGCACACATGCGGTGTAGTATAATCCGGCCAGGGGTCGTTGTCGCCAAATGGATACCTGAACGCAAACACATTGACGTCTCCCTGGCACATGACAAACTGGCGGAGTGCATCGATGCAGTGGTCGATATGCCCAGCCAGGTCGTGCTTCGGGGCAGCCGTGTCCCCGCCAAACTGCTCGTAGTGCGACTTGTAGTTGTTCTGTCTCATGAGGTTCAGGCAGTGCAGCTGGTGGAAGACCTCGATGGCCACTCGGTATCCATGCTTGCCGGTCCTTGGGTCTGTGATCTCGAGAGCGCCTTCCGGGTCGAGACCTATTTTGATCATCTCCTCCCGAGATATCATTGTGTCCGGAACTTGCTAGTGTTAGTCAACTAGTCCAAGATGTCAGCGGCGGCCGGTTACATACTGCCATCGGTGATGTAGTCCCATCGCGCATCCACGTCGTCGCCTTTGCCGATGAAGGGCCCTTCAGCTATCGGCGGCAGGTCGAAGTGTTGTATCTCATACTTTATCGCACCGAGTGCAGGCGCTGGGGTCTCGTTAGCTCCAGTAGAACAAAATGCAATCGCGCTGTCCAGTCTGGCAACATACAGTACGTCTCTGGTAACCGCCCTGCCGGCCCATGTCTGGCCGACTTCATGCAGAAGGACAAGGTAAAGAAAAGCATGGAGATCGACAACAGAATGGCGTGCGCAATCCAAGGCCAATGTGGACTTATCCTTCGCAGCCTCTTCGTTATGGGCGATTCCATCTCTGATGACTCTGATGACCTCCACGACCACTTCTCGTCTACGGCATCGTTGCCGTTGCCCGTAAGAGGCTCTTCCTCCTCATGAGGAACGGACCGGTAAGCCTTGGCCATCTGGGAAACGAAACAAAAACAGAAATATAGTACGGGCACACCTGGTGCTGCGAGAAGGGAAGAGAACTGGGAATTAAAACGGTGCACACTGCGAAAGGCGCGGAAGTGACACAAGGAGAAGGAGAGCGAGAGAGAGAAGGTTGAGACGAAGAAGAATCCGGCCTTGAAGGAGAGATACCAACATCAGCGGGCGGCGGCCGACGCCTTGGCGACGTGTTCGTCGAAAGCGGACAGAGGCATGGTCAAGAGGCATGGTCAAGGCGCATGCTGGCGACAATTGTGAGGGCATTTGGAAACATCCCTCGATGCAACAGACAAGCTTCTGTTGCCGGGGGGGCGTGGTCGCCTGCAGCCTATACTGACGAGACTGGCCCTAGCTTCAAACCAAGACGAGACGTCTCACGCATCCATGGAGGGCGGGTCCACATACTAATTCCACAATAGAGAGTTGGCGTTGCGGGCAGCACTAGGCCAAATGCAGGTACGACTTGAGAGAGGCGCCTGGAGTCTGAGGTCTGAACTCTTGGAACTTGTGGATGGGCGGGCCATGGCCATGCAGAGAGCCCACTCGCTCACTGAATTAGCTGCAGGCTGCTGGGTTGGGGTTGGGGCACTAGCTTTCCTCATCACGAGAATACCCAAGTTATCATACGCAGGAAGTTCATCATTGTCAGCGAGTGCCAAGCAGAGGTTCGGCAGACTCGGGCTTGGCTTTTGCGAATCGCTATGATGTGAGATTCACGGCAAGGGAACAGTGTCTATCCCTTGGCATTGAGCTATTTCTTGCGACGCAAGTGTAGACGATGATTCGCGACAATAGCAACCGCCCTTAAGACTGATCGCTCTCTCAAAATCTTGGGAAACGGACATGCACCCCAGAGGGCGGCTAAATTTGGACAGGCCTCGTCCAGCGGCGCTGGGCTGCCTGGCTGCCAGCCTGCCCAGGGCACCCACGATGACACATGGGCAGTCCATGCGTTTCATCCCATGTCCACACTGCGGTTGCGACAGCCATATTTTCCTGATGCTGGGGAAGTGCATGACGAAGCGAGACAGTCCCCCCCGATGTCACATCCTCGCGCACCAGGCAAGATCTTCGCGCCCCTCTTGGCGACACAAGTTTCAGACAGGGATGTGAGACAGCCTCCTCCGACTCCCAACGGCTGGCCTCGATGGTCTGGGAATAGCTCCCAAGGCTTATGATTGACGGCACAAGCAGATCGCCCAGGTCCAATGCTGTCAGCGGGCGGGTGCATGTTAATCTGGTAGGCCAAGCCTTCATACCCAGGTCTAACATCGCCTTCCCTGCGTGAGGCTCTGCAACCGCCGACTATCCCCCAAATGGCATACCTCGAGCCTCACCGTCACAGGGCCGCATTGCCGTCCCATCGCAAGCTGGGCCCCCAATGCCGTTGTCGTCGAATGGGGTCCCAGTCCACGATGAAACCCAACCTTGTGTACGAGCCTTCAATCTTCGGCCACGCTTCCATGGGGTGCATCTCGCTTGGATAGATCTCATAGCCCTCGTCTCCCCGCTTCTTTAGCTCAGCACCGGCTCTGAGTGGACGCCAAGATGCCTGCCGTAGATCGGGGTGAGAAGTCACGATGTCGCCCTCTGAGCAGGAGAGACCACGAGCCGATCTTAGCGGCTGTATCTTGAGACGTCGAGAGACGAGACCGTTCCCACGTCCTCGGGGTTTGAGCCTCCATCCGATCTGCCCTTTGGCGGGAAACTTGGTGGCTGACCCAGTTCCGATCCCCTTGTCTTTGCAGAAAGCTTGGGTCCCGACTAACGTGCGATTTCGAATATAAACCCACTCAAACTACCTCTAGGCTTGCCCAGAAATCTTCTCTTAGTATCCGCTTCTCTCTTTGGCTCGACATCTTTGGTTTGACACCCTTCGTTTCTTAGACAGTACTATAACTTAGTCATTCTTTCAGCTGCCGGCCAGCCTTTACTTATTCAGTCAATATGCACGCTCCTTCGCTCCTTCAGCTGGCCGTTTCCAGCTTGCTGGCTACCTCGGCCGTCAGCGGCTTCCAGATCACTGGTCCCCGCGACCTTGCCCGTCCTCTAGCTGTAAGTGTCACCCAGTTACTGCAATATGGTACAAGTTTACTAACTCATCCCCTTAGGGCGTCTTGGCTGTCTACGCTGCCCCGGCCTTGGCTGCTCCTGCCATTGAAGCTCGGCACCATGCTGGTGGAAAGGGTAACAAGAAGGGGGCAAAGGCACAGCGTGACGAGTCTGAGCTAGAGACTCGTGAGCCTCACCACGCTGGCGGAAAGGGCAACAAGAAGGGTGCCAACGCCGCCGCTAAGAACCAGCGCGACGAGGCCGAGCTCGAAGCCCGCCACGTAAGCTTTCCATTCTTATCAATCACGTCACTAGAGCGTAGCTAACCGGTCTTTCAGCATGCTGGTGGAAAGGGTAACAAGAAGGGTGCCAATGCCGCCGCTAAGAACCAGCGCGACGAGGCAGAGCTTGAGACCCGTGAACCTCACCACGCCGGTGGCAAGGGCAACAAGAAGGGCGCCAATGCTGCTGCCAAGAACCAGCGTGATGAATCCGAACTGGAGACCCGTGAGCCGCACCACGCTGGCGGCAAGGGCAACAAGAAGGGCGCCAAGGCACAGCGTGACGAGGCAGAGCTCGAGACCCGCGAGCCTCACCACGCCGGTGGTAAGGGTAACAAGAAGGGAGCGAAGGCACAACGTGATGAGTCTGGGCTAGAGACCCGTGAGCCTCACCACGCCGGCGGCAAGGGTAACAAGAAGGGTGCCAACGCTGCTGCCAAGAACCAACGCGACGAGGCAGAGCTCGAGACCCGCGAGCCTCACCACGCTGGTGGCAAGGGCAACAAGAAGGGAGCAAAGGCACAGCGCGACGAGGCAGAGCTTGAGACCCGCGAGCCGCACCACGCCGGTGGCAAGGGCAACAAGAAGGGCGCCAAGGCCAACTAGGAGCATTATATGTGATAATGTCCAGTATACACAGCATTATCCGCTGCTTCTGCTACTGAAAACATTGGAAAGGGTCTCGCTTTCGCTCTTTTTTGCCAGAGTCGACTACTTGCCCTTTGGCGGCGTCTTTTGCTCAATTTCTTCCGGTTCGATATCCCTGTATACAGCTTAGCTTCTGCCGCGCCATGGTCACGTCACCGAGTGATGGATCGTCCCGCGCGTGGTGTGCGTGTTAATATAAAAAAGACTTGAATAATCCCATGTTAAATGGCCTCCGCGTCAAGTGTGATCTGCGCTCAGTGCCAGTTTCAGTTGTTCAGTATTGGTCCACCAGCTTGCAGAGGCACCTGTGCTGCTTTCTTGTCCTAAAAATTTTGAACTGAGAAGTTACCATACTGCTTCATAGTACTGCGGCGAGGTGCTCATTTCGGAAATTGAAGGTGTCCACATGCCATCGACCATTTCGTGGGATACGGCGTAAGTTGCATGAGCGAAAAGTTCTCAAGCAATAGCAAGCATAACAGAAGTGATCATGCTTAGTGCTGGCATTTGCAGCAAAATGAATATCAAGTTCATAATTTCGAGGGTTGCCAGCTCTGTTTATATGCTGCACGAAATCTTGCTCTCACGGGGTTCTTGGCGGGTTTCGAGTTGCGCCCCGTATAACATGACATGAGCCGATGAACCGGCCATAATCTGCTCTTATGTGCTCCACCACAGAACAGTCGCCGTTCCAGATCTGCAAAGGGATCCTCGAAATCGACGCATGGTTTCCTCTGATCCCCATCGATAATCGCGGCCAGGGGGGAATACAAGTGCATCGACTGCGTTGGTGTGGCTGTCGTGCATTTGCAGCATTCATGGTTGATGGTGCAGGGGAGGATCGGGTGGCATGTTCGAAATTTACTAGCATGAGATCAAAGTCATTCTGGAAGGAGATTGACAAACCTGCCGATATCCTTCGGAGGCCATCGTTTCTAAGTTTTCCATCCAGACAAAAAATTGTGCCTGGAAACGGTAAGAAATACTTTGGTCGATATCACACTTTCCCATGGCAAGTTTCTTTTTCCTTTAATTCAATAGTGCTAGATAGAAAACACAATGGTTATATTGAGCCACGCGCTTTTAGATACACGATAAAAACTAGAACCCCTATACCAGAAGCCTAGCCTCGATCGCTAAACCGTTATGTAATGTACATAAGCTCTAAGCTTTCTATCCGAGTCTCGGGGGTCAGGATCACGGTCTAGTTCCGGTGAATCATGCTCCTCCTCAACCGTGAGCGAGGCAGAAGTAAATATCGGCGTCCGTACACAGTATTATTGATGTGAATAATACTCATTCCAGTCTGCCCTGGTCTTCTGCTTCTACAATGCCCTATCTGATCTTTCACAAACTGTGCCGTGTAAGTTAGATCTTAAAGCCATAACACACAGTCTGATGTTGTATGATCGCTGTTGCTGCCAAGTCATTATCAGTTTGGGCGATAGCTAGGACTGATGCGGAAGTCCATAGGACTGCGGACTTGACTATGCTACCGTGAAACTGAACATCTCGCGCCTGGGCGAGTTTTCAAACATGCATTGATGCTATGATGCTGACTGCGATACTCCAGGGCGAGGTTCACCAGCACACACACTTGCTTGTTCGATGATAATGATAATGATGGTAACAACGTTGGTTGCTATTTCTAGTGCAGCTGAGGTAAGATAGACCATGACGGTCACTTTGAAGGCACTTGACGAGACGCGCCGAGCCGAGCACAGCCGCGTTGGATAGGCGAGTTCCAGCTGTTCTGGGGCCCCAGCAGAGAGCATCAGTTTGGTGGCAAGTCTGTCACTTTAAGACATATAGATCGTTGGCAGAGAAAAACTTGGGAACGTAGGTTTTGCTAATATGGTTTCCAGATCCTTCGGCTCCCATTGCTCTCTTTTTCCTCCCTGTTATGCTCCTGTTGAGTGTATTGCGGTAGCCGTATATTTGTGCTATCCTGCTTCTTGTTCCTGATCACGCTAGGGTCTCCAGTTCTGCGGAGAAAGAGATATAACGAGGGACGATGAGGAGCTTTTTCTAGGATTTATTTCATCAGCCCAGGTAACTCAAGTTGTGGAGTTTGGATATGCTAGTCATCGTGAAGACTACCTATGTAGTTTCGGCGTTCGTACTACTCTCGCTCCCGCGTGGTCACAAAGCCCCAGCCCGAAGAGAGTAATCTGGCTACGCAACGGGAACTTTCGCAACTGACTAAATCTGTGCGCCCATTGGATACTGGTGGGATTTGTCGGTGTACGGCTTTTGAAGCCTGGGCAGTGGCTGGGATGGAGAGCAAGTAATCCGTGGCAATGCACACACAAGTATGTCTCTCACCAGGCGGTGTCGTTTCGTTTTGAGCTAAAGCAGCCAGAGTCATGCGGATGGTTTGATGGAACCTGCCTTGCATGGGCGGCAAAGGGAAAAAAGAGATCATATTCTCACGCTTTCGGAGTCGTGCAGCAAGCCTGCAGCGCACTGCTGCACTAGCCCGCAACGTTTCGTCCAGCACGCCCTGCCTGGCATACATACATGGAATCCAATGGGGTTCCAAATACTATTTGACCCGCCTGCCCGCTGCATGCAGTAGGCACATGTCGTAAGACTCTAGGAAGAGGGGGTGAGTGGTGTGCGGAACAAGATTCCTTTTCCAACCGCCAGGATCACTTCTCCAGTTTCGGCTCCAGTCTTGGCTGCTAGCAGATTGCCCAGCCAGGAAAGTGGCCTTGACGGCTTTTGGATCCGTTGAGGTTCGGGAAGGCTAACGAGCAAAAGTCTAAACGGAGCAAGGCACCAAACTCTGCCAAAAGGCACTGCCGAGCGCGGCCTGCACTGATTGCTTTCGCAGCAGAGGAGGGAGGCGAGTCATTGGGTGTGTTCTTCGTTCTGGCCTGAGTAATTCGGTCGGCGCCAAACCAAAGTCAACTCGTCTAGATGCACCCCGGGGAGGAAGCTGGGGTTAAGCTGGGCCCGAGACCCCGGTAACTCCCGGGCAATCTCGTAGGGAACGGCAACCCGAACGCGTGAGGGGTTCCGCTAGAGCTTGGCGAGCCATCGGGGAAACCAAAGCTCGCTGGTTTCCCTGACCGAATCGAGCCCCCTGGGGCTGTCTCGGGCACACTGCCATAAGCGGCTGCGATAGGTTCAAAAGGACCAAAGACTTCGTTTCTTATCAGGAATACCATCGGAAACATGCGCGCCAAAGTCTGACATCCTACAGATATGTAAGGTTAGGCACATGCATTTCGTCATGGTCGGGCCATGCCTTGCTGGCTTCGCCCACTCCGTCCTTCTCGCTGAGGATCGTGGTCCCAGCCGCAGAGAAAAGCAAGACCAAGGCTGCTCACTACGGGAATGCAGATCGATCCTTGCCAAGACAGCATGCGTATACCATAGTACGACTCTAGGCCTAGATGACCGAACAAATTACCCCGAGCCCGGGCAGGTGCCGCACACCGAACGGCAGGCAAGGCAGGCAATCCAAGACGGAGGCCTGTTGACTGTCAAGTGGTTCCCTAGTGTTGGCCGTGGATGTGGGAGGCCAGTTGAACCAAGTTATCCTCGATCGTCGACGGCAGAGCACAAGCAACCGGCTGCAGTGAAGCCAACCTCCTGGGGTCCCGATGCAGGCTCTTGGGTGGCTATTGTAGGTAAACCAAGACGCACGTTAGCAATGGCTTTCTTACTGCATCTCGATGATGTACCATCACCGCGGGCTGCAGTCGGTCCGGAACCTGTAATCTGCATTGATTTAGCACATGCACTGGCTGGGTGTGCATGCGTGGCAGGCCGCACGCAACCAGCCGATGCGAAAGCGACGTTTAAAGAAAGTGATATAGGGTGTTTGCCGTCATGGGGATCCCCTGCTGGCAAATGCTCTCCCCACCCCACACACTCGATGCAAATATGCTGGGCACATTTAACGACACATTGGATGGGAGTACGCACTGTCGTCTAATTCTATGTTGTCTGTCAATATTTCTCTGAGCACATAAGCTGTCGGACCGTGGCCATGGCCAACCAAGCAGTCACTGTGTCCCGCCTGGGAGTCCAAGCTTGAGGCGTCTTTCCCCAGACAGTTTGCAATCTGGAGCTCAACGCGACGCATGGAGGGCTTCGGCATAGCAAACAGAGGGCTGACTGATTGACTACTCAAGTATCTGAGTATTTGTGCAAGTGGACTTGAAGGTTTCCATGTCGCTCGTGTACAAGACCGACCTCCTGTACCATGGTAGTCAGGTACTTGTGAGCGAGTGCATGGTAGTAGGTAAGCAATGTCTCTGCTGCGAACACCCCCCCTCCCACCGTCCCTGTACCGCAGCGCCGCCTGGACACTGCCGGAAGCTTGTGGGAACGCGGTACGTACTGTATCGCGCGTGGCACGGTACCGTCGGCTGATTGATAGGGAACTTAGGTTTGCAATGTTGGGCTGGGTACGCGAGATTCCGTAGCGTCTCTTCCAGATGGCACCCTACCTAACCCACGTCCGATGTGGACCCCCCCCCCCAGTCGACGCAGCCCAGGTCAATCTGTACGCCTCGAGCGCCGAGCGCGCCCGGCGGCCAGCCAGCGGCCAGCCTGGCTTGACCAGTCAGTCCGGCCCTGGTTGCTGGCTTGCTGGAGCCTCCCATGCGCCGCTCCATTAATTGCCCACCCACTAGTTATTAGACATGCGGGCCATGGCCATGCCACCATGCATCCCAGGCGGGCAGGGGCTTCTAGCGGCTGCACCAGCCTGCAGGCCCTGCAGGCTCCAAGGTACCTAAGCAGGTACTGCACACTACAGTAGCTACCTAAAGTTAGGTAGTCACTAACTGCACAGTACCGTACCTTGGGCCATCATCATCATCATCATCACTACCAGCCCGCTCAGTGGGTGCTCCCCCCCCCTCCCCCCTGCCCCCCTGGCCCCCCTGTAAGTTTACCTTTAGCGGCCGGGCCAGGGTCGCAAGTCGCCCAAAAAAGGGCCCCCAGATGCACAAGACGCCCGGGCCCTCTCGCTGGCCCGCTGGCCGCTGGCCGCCTTCTCTTCTTCCTTCCAGGCCGGTGCAAGGGTAAAACTCCTCTTCCTCTGCCGTGCTCCCCAGCGCTTGTTTTTCCCAGAGATTCCCATCCCATCCCATCCCATCCACCCTTCTCACCCGCCAACGCCCGCCCGTCGCGATCCGTCCATCGCATCGCACCCCCTTTCCATCGCGACCTTCCATTGACCGCTGGCCTGCCATCCCACCGCGGCCATCTCCTCACTGCTGCCAACCCCCGTCACGACCGACATGCTCACTGCCGTCTGAACGGGGCTCGACATCTCCCGAGACAGACAGCCTCATCGCACCGCGTCGTGTCCGTCGCCGTCTATCGCTCGCCCCTCCGACCGCCTCACGGGCTCACAGGCTGCGTGGCTCCGTTCAACGTGCGCCGGACCGGACTGCAATTCCTCCATCGTCTGCGCCCATCGCCAGCCGAGCATTGTCGCAACCGACCTGGACGCCGCCTGCTCAGGTACCAGCCTTGTCGAACACTGCGCCAAGAAAGACCCCCCTTCGCGTCTAATCCGTCTCACGTTCGGTGCAACCACCGGCTTTCATCACTTCAACCAACCCTTTGGAGGACACACAGCCGCCGATCAAGTCCGCCATCATGTCCATGTACCCGCAGCACCGGGGCCTTCCCCAGAATGCGAGCCGCTTGAATGAGCTCCTGGACCAGATCCGCGCCGAGTTCGACAACCAGGTCCGGCTCAACGAGGGCTACGAGCAGCAAAGTAAGTAACCATTACGCGCAGCCTCACGCCGTGGCCAGAGCACACTTGCGCTTCCTCCCACGAGCAATCTTTGCCGTCGTCAGATGCCAGGACGCTGACCAATGCCCCCAGTCCAGCAACAGGTGCAAGAGGCCCAGCTGGTGCGCGAAAAGGTCTACCAGCTTGAGCAGACGCACATGACCCTCAAGGCCAAGTAGGTGACCAGCAATCAGTAGCCACTGAACCCCCTATTTTGCTGACAAGACCCCGTCCAGGTATGAGGAAGAACTGCTTCTGCTGCGTCGCCAGCTTGAGGCCGCTCGCGGTGGCGCCCCTCAGCCGGGCATGCCTGGGCCTCCCCAGCACGGTGGCCCCTCGAACGTTCCTCCTCCGCCCTCCATCGGCATGGGCAACAACCTCTTCCAGGGTATCATGACCGGCCAAGGTGGCCAAGCCGGCCTGCCACCGCAGCCCCCGCCCCAGGAGCAGGGCCCCGGACCTCAGCAGCACCAGATGCCGCAGCCTCCTCCCGGGCTCCAGGGACCTCCTCCCCCACAGCCTCCGCCGTCTCAGCAGCCCCCGTTCCAGCAGCCCTACCAGCAGGGTCCCGGCCCCAACGGCTTCCCGGGCCAGCCGCCCCAGAGTACCGCTAGCCCCGGACCTGGCAGCAAGCGCGGCATTGGTGGTAGACCCCCGACCGGCCCTGCCACTCCGCAGATCAACAACCCCATGCCTTACCCGCCCGGCCCCGGTGCCTCCCCTCAGGTTCACAACCAACCCACGCCCGACCACAGAGGACCGATGCCGCCTCACCCCGGTCCCGGTCAGCTCGTGAACAACGCCCTGGGCGATCTCGACCCCGACCGTCTCCCTGCTCACAGCAAGAAGACCCGCGATGACTGGTTCGTCATCTTCAACCAGCAGGTCCCACGCACGTTGGATGTTGAGCTTGTCCACACCCTAGGCCACGAGAGCGTTGTCTGCTGTGTGCGATTCAGCCACGATGGCAAGTACGTTGCTACCGGCTGCAACAGATCCGCGCAGATTTACGACGTCAACACCGGTGAGAAGGTCTGCGTGCTCCAGGACGAGAATGTCGACATTAGCGGGGACCTCTACATTCGAAGCGTCTGCTTCAGCCCCGATGGCAAGTACTTGGCCACCGGTGCCGAGGACAAGCTCATCCGCGTCTGGGACATCCAGAACAGAACCATCCGCAACACCTTCTCAGGCCACGAGCAGGACATCTACTCCCTCGACTTCGCCCGCGACGGCCGAACGATCGCGTCTGGTAGTGGAGACAGGACTGTCCGTCTGTGGGACATCGAGACCGGCGCTGCCATGTTGACCCTGACTATTGAGGATGGCGTCACCACGGTGGCCATCTCGCCCGACACGAGATACGTCGCAGCCGGCTCGCTAGACAAGAGCGTGCGCGTCTGGGACATCCAGCAGGGTATCCTGGTCGAGCGACTGGAGGGTCCCGATGGCCACAAGGACAGTGTCTACAGTGTGGCATTCTCTCCCAATGGCAGAGAACTGGTCTCGGGCAGTCTGGACAAGACTATCAAGATGTGGGAGCTCTCTGCGCCCCGAGGAATCAGCAACCCCCCTGCGAAGGGAGGCAAATGTCTCAGGACCTTCGAAGGTCACAGGGTAAGCATATTTCTTATCTGTGGATTTTGCCACTTGCTAACTGATGACAGGATTTCGTCCTATCCGTCGCGCTCACCCCTGATAACGCGTGGGTCATGTCCGGTTCCAAGGACCGTGGCGTGCAATTCTGGGACCCAGTCACTGGGTACACCCAGCTCATGCTTCAGGGACACAAGAACTCGGTTATTTCCGTGGCACCCAGCCCCGCCGGAGGCTTCTTCGCGACCGGTTCTGGTGATATGAGAGCTCGCATCTGGTCCTACAGGTCCGTAGGCCGGTAAAAGCTCACACCGAACGGGGCGTTTGGTAAATCGTTGATCTTAGAGGAGACTAAGCGATGAACTCACGGCAGCTCGAAAGACCTTTTTTTGTATGGGAAAATCAAGGCGGGTTAGCTGGGCAAATGGAGCAATTACCCAGGCTTATCAAGATTGTAGGAAGAATTAGCTAGCTTTACGAGACCTTGGGGCTTGTGTACACAGATGCGTTCGTTGGCTGCTGGCTTGTTGTGGAAACAGGGTTGGCGCAATACATGGGGAAAGGTCCAAAACGTTGGCCAAGGAATTGCTGGCTTGTAGAAGTGGCGACCGCTTGTTAGTATTAATGGAGTTATACATTGTCACTTTTCTCGCACCAAACCAGTTCATGATATCCACCCCCGTGGACTTACTTGTTGGCGACTACTAAACGAGACTCCCCTGCTTTCTACTTGGAAAGAAATACGTGATCTGTAGTCCCCTCCTCCCTACATCCCCAGGCGCATTCACATCAGAGAGCTGAACAGGGCGTCGAACTCGTCCCCCTTCTTCGCCTTCTTCTTCTTCTTGGCCTTGGCCCTCTCCTCCTTGGCAGCCTTGTCCCCCTTTTCTACCAACCCGGCACGCAAACGCGCCGACGCGCCAGAAGAGGACACGGCCTCCCCGGCCTCGCGCTTCTTGCGCTTCGGCGGCGGGCTGCCGGCCTCCTCGGTCCGCCTCTCGGCCGCGCCCGCGCCCGCCTTGTCCTTGCCGCGCCTTGCTGCCGCCGCGATCTCCTCGCGCGACACGACCTCGCCCGCGTCCACGGTCCCGATGCCAAGGCCAGGCACGGCCTTGGCACTGGCGGCCTTCTTCATGATCCGGTCCGCGCCCGCCGGAACCGCGGTAGCTTTGGTCGTCTTGGTCGACCTCGTGTCCGCTTCGCCCTCCTCGTCCGCCACCGGCTGCTCCCCGCCGGCGCCGGCGGCCTCGGCGCCGACGATCTGCACGCACGCCGCGTGGACCTGCGCCAGCGCGCCCAGGAGCACGATCCCCAGCGTCGCGAACTGGTTGTCCGCCGCGAGCTGTGAGAACGCCCTGTGGGTCATTGGGAGTCAGCTGCAATGTTCGAGGGAGGAATTGCAACTCCCCGGAGTTACCCCTGTAGGCTTTTTTTTTTTTTTTTTTGGGGGGGG